GTTTGTTATATTTTCTGTTCTTGTACATTTGCTGAGGAGTGCTTTACTTCCAATTATGTGGTCAATTTTGGAGTAAGTGTGATGTGGTGCTGTGTAGAATGTATAATCTGTTGATTTGGGGTGGAGAGTTCTGTAGATGTCTATTAGGTCTGCTTGCTGCAGAGATGAGTTCAATTCCTTGATATCCTTATTAACTTTCTGTCGCGTTGATCTGTCTAATGTTTACAGTGGGGTGTTGAAGTCTCCCATTAATATTGTAAGGGAGTCTAAGTCTCTTTGTAAGTCTCTAAGGACTTGCTTTATGAATCCGGGTGCTCCTGTATTGGGTGCATATATATTTAGGATAGTTAGCTCTTTCTGTTGAATTGATCCCTTTACCATTTTTAATGGCCTTCTTTGTGTCTTTTGATCTTTGATGGTTTAAAGTCTGTTTTATCAGAGACTAGTGTTGCAACCCCTGCTTTTTTTTTATTCTCCATTTGCTTGGTAGATCTTGCTCCATCCCTTTATTTTGAGCCTATGTATGTCTCTGCATGTGAGATGGGTCTCCTGAATACAGCACACTGATGGGTCTTGACTCTTTATCCAGTTTGCCATTCGATGTCTTTTAATTGGACCATTTAGTCCATTTATATTTAAGGTTAATATTTTTATGTGTGAACTTGATCCTGCCATTATGATATTAACTGGTTATTTTGCTCGTTAGTTGATGCAGTTTCTTCCTAGCCTTGATGGTCTTTACATTTTGGCCTGATTTTGCAGTGGCTGGTACCGGTTGTTCCTTTCCATGTTTAGTGCTTCCTTCAGGGTCTCTTGTAGGGCAGGCCTGGTGGTGACAAAATCTCTAAGCATTTGCTTATCTGTAGAGGATTTTATTTCTCCTTCACTTATGAAACTTAGTTTGGCTGGATATGAAATTCTGGGTTGAAAATTCTTTTCTTTAAGAATGTTGAATATTGGCCCCCAGTCTCTTCTGGCTTGGAGGGTTTCTGCCGAGAGATCTGCTGTTAGTCTGATGGGCTTCCCTTTGTGGATAACCCAACCTTTCTCTCTGGCTGTCCTTAAGATTTTTTCCTTCATTTCAACTTTGGCAATTATGTGTCTTGGAGTTGCTCTTCTCGAGGAGTATCTATGTGGCGTTTTCTGTATTTCCTGAATTTGAATGTTGGCCTGCCCTAGTAGGTTGGAGAAGTTCTCCTGGATGATATCCTGAAGAGTGTTTTCCAACTTGGTTCCATTTTCCCCATCACTTTTAGGCACCCCAATCAGACATAGATTTGGTCTTTTTACATATTCCCATACTTCTTGCAGGCTTTGTTCATTTCTTTTTCTTCTTTTTTCTTTAGATTTCTCTTCTCACTTCATTTCATTCATTTGATCCTCAATTGCTGATATTCTTTCTTCCAGTTGATCGAGTTGGTTACTGAAGCTTGTGCGTTTGTCACGAATTTCTCGTGTCATGGTTTTCATCTCTGTCAATTCGTTTATGGCCTTTTCTGCATTAATTATTCTAGTTATCAATTCTTCCACTCTTTTTTCAAGATTTTTAGTTTTTTTGCACTGGGTATGTCATTCCTCCTTTAGCTCTGAGAAGTTTGATGGACTGGAGACTTCTTCTCTCATCTTGTCAAAGTCATTCTCCATCCAGCTTTGATCCGTTGCTGGCGATCAGCTGTGTTCCTTTGCAGGGGGTGATGCGCTCTTATTTTTTGAATTTACAGCTTTTTGGTCCTGCTTTTCCCCCATCTTTGTGGTTTTATCTGCCTCTGGTCTTTGATGATGGGGATGTACTGATGGGGTTTTGGTGTGGGTGTCGTTCATGTTTGTTAGTTTTCCTTCTAACAGTCAGGACCCTCAGCTGTAGGTCTGTTGGAGATTGCTTGAGGTCCACTCCAGATGCTGTTTGCCTGGGTATCAGCAGCAGAGGCTGCAGAAGATAGAATATTGCTGAACAGCGAGTGTACCTGTCTGATTCTTGCTGTGAAAGCTTCCTCTCAGGGGTGTATTCCACCGTGTGAGGTGTGGGGTGCAGTCTGCCCCTAGTAGGGGATGTCTCCTAGTTAGGCTACTCAGGGGTCAGGGACCCAATTGAGCAGGGAGTCTGTCCCTTCTCAGATCTCAACCTCCCTGTTGGGAGATCCACTGCTCTCTTCAAAGCTTTCAGACGGAGTCGTTTGCATCTGCAAAGGTTTCAGCTGCCTGTTGTTGTTGTTGTTGTTGTTATTGTTGTTTTTGTTGTTTAGCTGTGCCCTGGCCACAGAGGTGGAGTCTACAGAGACAGGCAGGACTCCTTGAGCTGCTATGAACTCCACTCAGGGCCAGCTTCCTAGCCACTTTGTTTATCTACTAGGCCTCAGCAATGGTGGGCACCCCTCCCCCAGCCTCGCTGCTGCCTTGCCTGAGATCGCAGACTGCTGTGCTAGCAATGAGGGAGGCTCCCTGGGCATGGGACCCTCCTGGCCAGGTGTGGGATATAATCTCCTGGTGTGCCTGTTTGCTAAGATCCTTGGTAGAGCGCAGTATTGGGGTGGGAGTTACCCAATTTTCCAGGTGTTGTCTATCTCAGTTCCCCTGGCAAGGAAAAGGGATTCCATTCGCCCTTGGGCTTCCCAGGTGAGGCCATGCCTCCCCCTGCTTCAGTTCTGGCTGGTCGGGCTGCAGCAGCTGACCAGCACCAATTGTCCCGCACTCCCTACTGAGATGAACCCAGTACCTCAGTTGAAAATTCAGAAATCACCTGTCTTCTGTGTCGCTCAGGCTGGGAGTTGGAGACTGGAGCTGTTCCTATTTGGCCATCTTGCTCTGCTCCCTTCTCTTATACTTTCTTTTTGTTAATTAATTAATTTATTTATTTTTTGAGTCAGAGTCTCGCTCTGTCGCCCAGGCTGGAGTGCAGTGGCCGGATCTCAGCTCACAGCAAGCTCCACCTCCTGGGTTTATGCCATTCTCCTGCCTCAGCATCCTGAGTAGCTGGGACTACAGGCGCCGGCCACCTCGCCCCGCCAGTTTTTTGTATTTCTTAGTAGAGACGAGGTTTCACTGTGTTAGCTAGGATGTTCTCTTATACTTTCTATGGAACACATATTTCTCTTGTACTTTCTGTGGAACAGAAATTAAAAAATCTAAGTCTAGGCCAGAAGAGAAATTAGACTGCAAATAATAATAGGCCAAATAGGAAGCCCCATAACATAGTTGCATTACAATGTACCAATATCAGTAACCCTGAGAGTGTATTTATCGAACTTGACTGCATTTTGCATTCATACTGTTCAATGCTAAATCTTACATACTATAAAAAGATAAAAACATATTCTAACCAGTTCAAACAAATGAATTCCTGCTCCTCACACTGTGCAATGCACTTCATATCCTTTTGTTTCCAACAATGGGCATAGAGATGTTACATCAAATGAAAAAAAAATATATCAATTATTTAAAATCAGAAGGCACTTATATCTTCAGTAATCCTGGCATCTGAGAACAAAAGCTTTAAAATAATATAGAAATAAACTAGGAGACTTACTGCTTTCAAGGAACATTTTGATGGGCTAGCAAAGTAGTCAGAAATATTGGTGCAATGGTACTTCAAAGTGCTGTGGATTCTGATAATATGCACTTCATGAGAATTAGACGAAGCCAAGTTTTAGAATTATCACTTAATAAATTCTACCACAGAACTTCCCCCAGCACAATAACTACAATCGATCATGCTCCACACCTTGTGACATACAAAAGTTGTGTATATTGGTTTTAATATTTTAAAATTTCTATTAAAAATATGTAAGTATTCTCTATCTCAACAAGAAATTAAACTATCAAACATTAAAAGTGAAGAACATATAGAATTAAAATCTGCTTGTTTTGTACATTTTTCCCCTGTTTTATATTTTTTCTGATTATAAAAATAAGGTTTCTGAGCAATACAGCTGTTACTCTGGGCAACTGCTCTAATTTAGGTAATTCCATCCCTTGGCTACATGAATTTAATGAGAAATCATACTAAATATTACAGCACAAGTAAAGCTTTCAAATGATTAGTCTGACTGGGTGCCATGGCTCACCACTTATAATCCCAGCACTTTGAGAGGCCTAGGCTGACCACACTGAAACTATTCTTCTGATCATCTTCCCAAAGCTGTCCTAGATAATTTTTTTCTTTATTTGCAGCCACAGCTGATATATTACAAAATATATAAGAAAATGATAATTGAAGACCATAAAGAAAAGACTAAAATAAGTTTGAAAAATAAAAATAAAAGCTTTATTTATTTATTTATTTATTTATTTATTTATTTATTTTTACCTGTTGATACATAAAGCCTGTTGGATGAGGATATAATGGAGCATCATCTGTTGGAGAGGACTTATGCTCATTTAAGGCATCTTGGCCATCTGGCTTTCAATTCTAAATATTTAAAATGATTGATAATTTGATGATAAAACTAACTTTATACCTTATATGTATAATTTTCTTCATTTAGAATAAACTTTGAACAAATGCAAAAAAGTTGGCATCTTTAACATCTTTACAATTCCTACAAATGATTTATAATTCAGGGAATAAAGCTGAATTATTTTAGCTGCATATTTTCTGGACCATTTCACACAGGTCACTTCCAAAAGGAAACTTACTTTTTAAGACCAAACAAACCAATGCTAACCATTTAATAAAATAAGTGTTTTAAAAGGCAATATTAATGCATAAACATTGGCTTACACATTTAAAAATTACTTATCTTTTTCCCAGATTTATCTGCTGCCCTTTGGGGACTTCCCCACGCCCCCTTTTCTAGACAAAATTCACAGACATTTGCAAGTGTCACCCTAGCACTATTTGATCTGTCTAAGAAATAACCATTTGATGTTTTATTGTTTTGTACTGGAAGAGACCGATTTTTGTAGGCCTACTGAATTATTTCCAGTATGTGGTCTTCTTTCAAGTTTCTATATCCACTAAACAAGTCAATTTCCTTTTCTTTCCTTTTTTTTTTTTTTCCACGTGAAAGCACAAACACAATCCTTCACTTCCACAAATTATGCAATTGGGTTTCCCACATTTGGGGAAATCGCAGAGGTCAGCACATCAGCGTGCAATAAATCAACCTTGCCATGGGAAAGTCTTCATGATCACAGTGTCTCGTCTGGCAGGCAAGTATCCTTTTTTTTTTTTTTCTAAAAAAAAAATATTTCCATTATCCTTTGAAATTAAATACAACTATCAGTACAATGGTATTTAGAATAATTTTCAGTATCGCTTGAAATGTTAACTTCAATCATCCATGATAATTCTTTTCTAAAAAACTTTTTAATTCTGATACAGTCTTCTACAAAATTTTAAGAAAAAACACAACGGCAAACAATGAAACAACTGCTAAATAAAACTACCATACATTTTATGCACTGATTGCTCATTTTTGATAGTGACTCTGAGCGTTCTATTGTATCTGACACCCATTCTTGGTCTTCTGGGATTTTACTATGTGCACTATGAGCTTTAAACATAAGCAGATGAAAAGAATTTGTGGTATCTAATAGTAGGTAATATTGCCTAATATGTGCCATTTAGAACAAGTTTTTGAGGTAATCTGATCAATATTAGTGTTAGTTCCCTACACGGGTGGCATTAGTAAATCCATTTATCAAATAAAAAATCAATTACAGTTAAGAGAAATACTTTGCAAATACTACAGATTTGGTCAGTTGAGGAGCTAGCTAGCAATCTGACTCAAATATCTGACCTCTTGGCATAATACCAATTTTAAAAGTTTTGACTAAATATACTATCCATGTATTACTACAAGTGAATTAAAAACAATAATGGTATACTACTTTGCATAGTTCCATTTTTTATTCTAAACTTAAGGTGGTGCTCTGTGGCCCAGGTTGGACTACAGCGGCATGATGATAACTCATAGCTTAATGAGGCCTCACACTCCAGGGTTCAAGGAACACTCCTATTTCAGCCTTCCAACGACCTGAGATTGCAGAAATGCACCACCATGTCCAACTCTCCTCATTATTTTTACTAAAGATGAGTATCATTTTAAGACTAAATTTTTAAAGAAAAACAAACTTACTTGGTGTTCACTTATTTTTCACAGACAACATTTTAGAATGTAAAGCAAGAATCCTGTGATTACAAAACAGCGTTATAAACTGGCGGTCCAAAATGTATTTCAATTTGAATAGCATAAGAAAACCCACATGATGGGTAAAACAATTTAAAATGACAACCATCAAATTTGTCTGATTTGATAATGATCAGTTATTTCCTTTCAGGATTGGCTAAATTGCAATATATTTACACTGCTAACTGTTTTTTGTCCTTAGGAGTCAATGTTAAAAATTGCAAAAAAAAAAAAAAAAAAAAAAAAAAAAAAGACTTCTGTCTTTTTTGTCATTACCATTACAAGTAAACATTTTTTTTCTGTCTGCCATGAATATTACTTAATATAATAATATTATATTCCTAATCAGAGACCAGGTTTTTTGTTTCTGCCATAGGAGCATTTATAATATAAATTTATTTGAGAAAGGTGATTTTTCTAATCTAATTATTTCAGGTAAAGAATAACATGGAGAGGCTTCTAGTGACACAGTACACATTTCATTATCTTCTTGTCTTAAACATTATAATAAAGTGAATATCATGGCATTTGTCACGTTATTAATAGTATCAAATGTTTTCATGTATAATTTGTATAAATATGATCTTTGGCTCTGTAGGCCTTGAACAGTGCTTGGTATACAGCAGATGTTGATATATATCTGTAGAATACTGCCCACTGAATAGGCTAAATGTTTGTTACACAAAACATTTCAAGTTTACAAGGAGAATACTAAATTCATACATAAATCCAACGTTAATCCACATCCACTATTTTTCACATTAACCCAACTTGTATAACTCTAATCACTTCTTTGGATGAGATGAGGCTTAGATGTGATTTAGCCTTACTTTAGAGCAAATACAAGAAGTTGCATAGTAAACAATATATGACTGCAAACTATTTTTAAAATGTTGTAAATTAAATACCGTTGATAGGAACTCAATGCCATTTGTACAATATTAATTAATCGGCTTGAAATATAGGATGGTGGACGAAAGAGCAATTAGAAAATTTTAATTGTTAAAATCAAATATATTCAGTTGTTTAAAATTTGAAATTATCATTTGCCTTCAATCATTCTGTTCTACAGCTTTATACTAACTTTCATGTATTTTCAAGTTTTCAGTGTGCTTATTATAATGTCTATTGAGTGAAAATTCTTTGTGTTTGTGTGTTTGTGTGCATGTGTGTGTAGTGGGGGCATGTGTGTATAGAGTTTCCAGATATATAGTATTATTTGCTTCTAAAATCCCATAGCAATAAAACTTTGAATCTCCTGGCAGAGTTGGGCAACGAATCCTGGTGCAATTCTTAGGCTTATTTTACTGCAGTTGACACAACTAAGAATTCTAGAAGAATGCTAAAAATCTGTAACCACATAACCACATCTAAAAAAAAATTATCATTTTTCTCAAATCCAATGTGGCCAAGATGGTGAAACCCCATCTCTTTTAAAAATATGAAAATTAGCCAGGCGTGGTAGTGGATGCTTGTAATCCCAGCTACTCAGAAGGCTGGCACAGAGAACTGGTTGAACCCAGGAGGTAGAGGTTTCAGTGAGCCAAGATTGCACTCCTGCCCTCCAGTCTGGTTGACAGGGCAAGACTCCCTCTCTCTCTGTCTCTCTGTCTCTCACACACACACACAAACAAATAATAAATAATAAAAAACCTCTTCTTACATATTTATTAAACCATCTACTTGGAGGCTACAGATTGGTTTCGGATAACTTAATGTTATCTACTATCTTCTTCCACAGATAGTTTTGAATGCTTCCTTACTGGGTTCTATTGTGAAACTTTCTATGTCATAGCCAGTGAGATGTTACTAATTTATGTAATCCTAATTTATGTAACTAGAGGGTCCTTTTGTGATCCTCTAATGATTTATTAAGTCACACTGAATATTTCACATAACTGCTAAAAAGCCAAGTTAGGTCAATATTAAGTTTGTACCCACTAGCTACCTTAACAAAAATGAACAAAGCACATGTTTCCTACTGCAAGATGCTTTTTCCTTTCCAAATCTAAGTCACGTACTCCCTAAAATAGGCATGAGAGCACTTTGTGTTTTTCTTTTTTATTACAAGGCTTTGTATCACACCCGGGCTGTTTATTCAGTACTGTATTTTCAAAATCGTAATTAAGACAGATTCAAAATACTTTATCTTGAATTAATTTTCATATAAGGAGTAAGGAAAAGATCTAGGTTCAGCTTTCCACTTATGGCTAGCCAATTTTCCCAGCACCATTTATTAAATAGGGAATCTTTTCCCCATTTCTTGCTTTTGTCAGGTTTGTCAAAGATCAGATGGCCGTAGATGTGTGGTATTATTTCTGAGGACTCTGTTCTGTTCCATTGGTCTACATCTCTGTTTTAGTACCAGTACCATACCGTTTTTGGTTACTGTAGCCTTGTAGTATAGTTTGAAGTTAGGTACCATGATGCCTCCAGCTTTGTTCTTTTGGCTTAGGATGGTCTTGGAAATGCAGGCTCTTTTTTGGTTCCATATGAACTTTAAAGCAGTTTTTTTCCAATTCTGTGAAGAAAGTCATTGGTAGCTTAATGGGGATGGCACTGAATCTGTAAATTACCTTGGGCAGCATGGCCATTTTCACAATATTGATTCTTCCTATCCATGAGCATGGTATGTTCTTACATTTGTTTGTGTCCTCTTTTATTTCACTAAGCAGTGGTTTGCAGTTCTCCTTGAAGAGGTCCTTTACATCCCTTGTAAGGTGGATTCCTAGGTATTTTATTCTCTTTGAAGGAATTGTGAACGGGAGATCATTCATGATTTGACTCTCTCTTTGTCTGCTACTGGTGTATAAGAATGCTTGCGATTTTTGTACATTAATTTTGTACCCTGAGACTTTGCTGAAGTTGCTTATCAGCTTAAGGAGATTGTGGGTTGAGACGATGGGGTTTTGTAAATATACAATCATGTCATCTGCAAATAGAGACAATTTGACTTCTTCTTTTCCTAACTGAATACCCTTTATTTTTTTCTCTTGTCTGATTGCCCCAGCCAGAATATTCAACACTAAGTTGAATAAGAGTGGTGAGAGAGGGCATCCTAGACCTAAAACCATAAAAACCCTAGAAGAAAACCCAGGTAATACCATTCAGGACCCAGGCATGGGCAAGGACTTCATGTCTAAAACACCAAAAGCAATGGTAACAGAAACCAAAATTGACAAATGGGATTTAATTAAACTAAAGAGCTTCTGCACAGCAAAAGAAACTACCATCAGAGTGAACAGGCAACCTACAGAATGTGAGAAATGTTTTGCAATCTACTCATCTGACAAAGTCTAATATCCAGAACATACAAAGAACTCAAACAAATTTACAAGAAGGAAAGAAACAACATCATCAAAAAGTGGGCAAATGATATGAAAAGACGCTTCTCGAAAGAAGACATTCATACAGCCAACAGACACATGAACAAATGCTCATCATCACTCATCGTCAGAGAAATGCAAATAAAAACCACAATGAGATGCCACCTCACACCTGTTAGAATGGCAATCATTAAAAGTCAGGAAACAACAGGTGCTGGAGAGGATGTGGAGAAATAGGAACACTTTTGCACTGTTGGTCTGACTGTAAACTAGTTCAACCATTGTGGAAAACAATGTGGCAATTCCTCAAAGATCTAGAACTCAAAATACCCTTCAACCCAGCCATCCCATTACTGAGTATATACCAAAGGATTATAAATCATTCTGCTATAAAGACATAGGCATACAGATGTTTATTGCAGCACTATTCATGATAGCAAAGACTTGCAATCAAACCAGATGTCTATCAGTGACAGACTGCATTAAGGAAATGTGGCACATATACACCATGGAATACTCTGCAACCATAAAAAAGGATGAGTTCGTGTCCTTTGCAGGGACATAGATGCAGCTGGAAACCATCATTCTCAGCAAACTTTTGCAAGAAAGGAAAACCGAACACTGTATGTTCTCACTCACAGGTTGGAATTGAACAATGAGACCACTTGGATACAGGAAGGGGAACATCACACACCAGGGCCT